ATCGTGGGAGCAGCGGGCCGTAGGCCCGCAGATCGTCAGTGCCCAAAAGTAACGAATTCTGACCTATGTCTTGAAACAAGGCCTGTAGCTATCACAGAGTGGGAGCTGACAACACCCTCCCCAGAGAGAGTAATATGGATCCATCCAAAAAAAAAAATATAAAAAACTTCTTAAGACTCGAAAAACCAAACATGGAAAAACACACTATTTCATCAAGAATTGGTCAAAGTTGGAAGTTCGTAGAGAGACAATGTGGAAGAATTGCACCATCCGGACGTTGTTTTTTTCGACTTTCATTTTGACAGATTTCACGGGCTTATGTTCAAGGCCGGGAACACGTGTGCACCATAACATGCCACAGTTTTTCTTTCCAGTGCTTGACTTCTGTAGAATTCTGCACTTGCAACAAAAAATCCTTTGATCACAAACAGACCTGAATTTGAAAGCCAGCCAGAGGAACATGGGCCCACGACGTGGGAGTTAGAGCTTCGGAGTGCATCGGTTTCGAAGCATTGAGCTGAAGCTTGTCCTCTGCGTCGAAGAGAGTCGTTCACTTCTCTTTTTGAAAAAACTGATGGCTTGAAAGTCAGCTTGCAGGGAGTACATGCGCCATGGTTGCAATCTGATGCTACTTTGAATCAGTTCAGGTGCCATCGACTTTTTTGTGGGCTTGTCGGTAAACTATTCTGACTTCACGAGGGTGCTAGCCCCGCGGAGAAGTTTGCTCACCAGCAAGGCACGGGACTTAGTAAGTATGGTTATAAGTACCTTAACTAGGGCTATAAGTAGATATAATATAACTATAGCTACCTTACTTATAACCCTACTTACTAAGTCCCCTGATCCTCTAAGTAGTCTGCTCCAGAGACTGTGGCACTCGTCACCCTGGGTCTGGCCTACCAGGCGCTGCCGGTATCGACCATGTCGATCCCCACGACCCTCCTAGCATGGTACTTAGAGGATCAGGGGACTTAGTAAGTAACCCTAGTTAGGGTTATAAGTAGATATAAGCATAGTTACCTTCTTTATATCCCCACCCACTAAGTCCCATGATCCTCCAAGTAGCGCCAAACCTGACAGAAGGAAGTCCTACACTGCAGGAGCAGCAAGTCTAGTAACTTCGTAACCACGGCCGCCTGAGACACCAAGTACGCACCACCACCAGATCGTGAAGCCACGTGAAGCCCAAACTCTCGTTGTTCCCGTGTCTAAGGCGACCGCAGCTCCAGGAGGTCTCTCCGGGTTTGCGACACGGAAGGTTGTTTAAGCATCTTCCCTAAGGGTCCCGGGTACCTCTGTGCAGAAATCTTGGGCCATAGAATACGTGCCCTACAGTCGCTTGAGGGCACAGGTTTACTTGGAGGAACATGGGACTTAGTAGGTAGGGATATAAATAATAAGGTAACGATAGTCAGATCTGCTTATAACCTGAAATAGGGTACTCATAACCCTACTTACTAAGTCCCCTGATCCTCTAAGTGACTCTAAGTAGAAAAGATGCTGAACCAGCAAAAAGGGGATGGCAGCTTTCAGGCCGAAAACCCTAAGCCCCTGGTTCGGGAATCTGAGTGGTAGGGTTGCTCTGATGGACATCTTAAGTGTGGGTTTGGGTTTAGGAGTTTAAAGAGTTTAGGGTTTGGGTTCAGGGTTTGGGGTTTTGGGGTGGGAAGTTCCAGGACTGTCCTAGTAAGGACGTCGCGGACTTTAACCCACGAATTCGTGACTGTGCTCCCTTCTCGGTCTCTTTATCTGAGCTAACCACCGAGCTGCTTCTGGCGAGTAGAGCCCCATACTAAAAAGGGCTCCTTATAATGGAAAGCCGATTTGATTTGATGTACTTGTGAGAGGCTCCAAGAGCTCTGGGAGTAGATTCGGTCGATGCAGGGACCTCTTCTCATGCGGGTGCCGGTGGCATCTCAGCTGCGGTTTTTTTCTTGGGAAGATGTATGCGTAGTAAACGTGGAAATAACTCATCTTGGACATGCTGAAATGGGCTTGGGACTGTGTGTGCGGAAGGATGCGGAAGGGTTTGCGGAAGCGATGTCTCTGCAGAAGGTTCCGCGGAAGGTCTGAAGATGAACAGGTAGAGTACAAACTAAGTTTGTAAGCTACCGGATTTACATTGCAAGCTCCCAAGCAGCGAGACCCAAGATCAAACACGCAGATGCGTTTAGGACTGTAAAGCTTGCAACCCCCAACCCGGTCAAGGCTTACTGAGTGCTAGGCAGCTCCGAGCGAGATTATGTATGGTTTGGGGCTTTAGTTCGATCCGTAGCAGCAAGCTGCTTCTACTACAGCTACTACTGTTCGTGCTCCGACTCGTACTCCTACTCCTACCGTGGCCAGCAACATTTTCACTAGCGCTATACCGTCACCACGACTGAAAGTCTGAGCTGAGCCCACCTTGCCAGGCCCACCACCTTCAGCTGAGATCCAGGTCCTTTTTGGGGTATCATTCGATGTTGTGACGAACATGACCCTGCCTGCAACGCCGTCGGTGTGCATTTTTCACGTAGGGGTTTCGGAGCTATCTTAAAACTGCGGAGCTCATGGCGTTTCATGTTCCTCCTTGTGTGTGCCGGGCGGTTTCGAAGTGTAAGCTGTGGAGCGACGAGTCGTCAGCGTGGAATCGGGCTTCCAGGTCTCGGGCACTGACTGCTCCCTTTCGGGTCCAGGGTTCTGGAATGTGTCGTTAGCTTTCACAGCTGTCCAGAGCAGGCCCAAAGGAGGGATCTGCGCACACTTGGGTCGTCTTCCCAAGGGATGACATGTCTCGATCCGTGGACGTTTGACCGCCGTAGTTGAGCAGTCAGAGCTTACGTGCTTTGCGTATGCGTCTGGACTTTGTTCATGCTTGGTAGGCGCGTCGAAGCTGCGGCGATGCCTGCTGCAGGCGACGTTCATGCAAGTTCGTGAGCAGGGGTAAAAAACACACTTAAAACTGCACTGAAGAGGTCGGTTTCGGGGCCATGCGAAATCATTCGGCGTGGGTGCTGCAGGAGCTTCCGCAGACTGCTCTGTTATTGCCAAGAGGCGCGGGCGCTGGGCTGTGAGGTTGGAAGTGGAGAGCTCGAGGTTGTAGGCTCCAGGCGGAGGCGCGCTGCTGCAAGAATTCGAGCTACGACCGAAAGCATGCCAGAAGCCCAGCTAAGGTGATGAGCGCAACGGAAACCGAGCACGAGCAGGATGGCTTGTGCTTGAGCTGCCTTACGGGAACCCCTCCACCATTCGCGTATGCTGCCCCTGTTTTTTGGGCTCTCAAGCTGCATCCGATGCGTGTTTGTTTGTTTGCAGGCTGGCGCGGAACGATGGACGTCCGTGGAAACGTTTCGATTGACCATCAAAGAGCCTCCGGCAAACCGGTTTTCCCCAGCGATCACCTACCACGGCGACCCGAACTATGACGCAGATGCGTGCTGGATCTCGTTTCCAGGCAAGTACAAAGGAGTCCCGGCTGTGCAGAAAAGAAATATGGACATCCGCCAGAGTTTCGATTTCCTGGAATGCACTTTGTGCAAAGTGCTGTAAGGAGGATGGGATGCGCTGACACAAACGAAAAAGGAAGACGCTGTGGCCTGCGTCTTCTTATGCACTGAGGAAGAGGGTCCGGGCCTTGGTACATACTGCTGTTCTTTGCATGGCATCAGGAAGGGTTCGGGTTCGTGTGCAGGCGGGCTTACACTCATTTTCTGCGCCATGCTAAGCTGCTAGGAGTACATATCTTGCATTACTGGGTTTGAAGAGGGTCTTGTCTGAGAATGTTGTTCCACAGGCTTTCAAACTGCAGTTCAAGCTGATGAACAGCCCAATGAATCAGCGCCCTGTGAACACGTCTCTCAGCGTGTTCCCCGCATCCAGGTCTCCGCCGCCACCATCATCCGGATCCGGACAATAAGGCCCTGTGCCTTTGTCACACAATCTATGGCGAGTCGAAAGACTGGGGTTGCTATTGGTACAAACTCTGGAAGGAGAACGTGCAGAGGGCGGTAAGGCAGAAGCAGCGGCTTAAGGCCGTGTTCTTCGCAGGTCAAGTTGGCAGGGGCAAGGTGAGCATGAAGGATCTTCCGACAGTCGACTTGTGGGATGGCATCGGACTTGGGGGCTCGCAGAAAGCCGAGTTGGCTACAGCTGACGAGGAAGGATGGGAATATGAAGAGGTGGACGTTGCTACATTTCTTGACGAAGCCTTTCCTGAGGGTGCACGAGTCGATGCTTGGTGCGACGCTGCCAAAGTGTGGCGACAGGGCAAAGTTGAGAAGCTCAAGAAGGAAGTGAATGATAAAGGCCAGGAACAGGTGAGCTGGATGGTGTGCTGCGAGACAGGAGAGATGATCGACACACAGTATGTGATGGACTCTGCCACGTCCATGCAGGAGGTCCTGGACTGTTTGGGCCCGAGCCTAAGGCCACGAGCAGTGCATGAGCAATTTTCGTCGGGGCATGTGCCACAGGAACAAGCAGCAGGAGCTGACACAGCTAATCATTACTTAATGTGTTCAGGCCTCCGTGCGTGTCTCCGTAAGGTCCGCCAAAGCTCGTCGAGATCTTGACGCAATGTCTGTCGCGAGCAGGCAATATTGCGGTGCAGCCAGAAGTGCAGCCATCGAGGCTTGCTTCCGGGGTCTCAGAGATGCTGATTGAAGTACAGGTGAAGGACGTTTTGGCTCTGCATGCCTTGCGAGATCGGGTTCTAGACGGGACGCTCGAAAAGGAAATCACCGAGAAACTGAAAAACGCCGCCCGGTTGAAAGGCTCAAGCTTGCCGGAAATTCTCGAAATTCAGATCGATAAGACGCGCTTCTTCAATCTCTACGAGGAGAGCCTCCTGACCCTCTCGGAATTGACGAAGCATCAGAAGGAAAAGCTCTGTGAGATGCAGAGTTCGAAGAAGATCCATTTGGCTGCTCCAGCCGGCGCAGGAAATTTAGGGTTGAAACCATGGGCCTTAGAGACCTACTATGTGCCCTATATGTACCCTTAAGGGACCCTAGAACCCCCCTAAAGGCCCATATTAGGGGCCCATACTTCTAACCTTGGAGGAAAGACCTTTCTTGCCATCCATTTCCTCGTGGACGTTCTGCGCAATGCTTCGTCAGTCCGGGTTATTTACATTACGCGTTCGAAGGAACTCGTCTACCACTTCTTACAGTGGATGACCATGCGTCTGGCAGCTATTTTTCCGCGGAAGCGCATCATGGCAAAGATCCAAGATGCATTTTCAAGGATGATCGTAGTCTTTGAACAAGATGGACGCTATTCGAAGTGCTACCAGCCTGAGATTACTGAAGCCACGAGCCGGTTCATCGAGCTCAAAGCCCTGGAGCCTGTGAAGGCTCGGGAGAAGTTCGGCTTGGTCATCGTGGACGAATGTCACAACATCTTCCGGCCAGATGTTTCCTATGATTTTATGGAGCGGGTGTGCCTGTGCTGCCAGCGGCTTCTTCTTCTTTCCGATGCGTCTCAGTCCGCAGCAGCCATGCAGCACTACCCGTTCTATCTGACCTATCGCATGAAGCACGTCAATCTTACAGAGATCGTGCGGAGTACAAAACGGATCGTGTCGGGGGCTGCGGCTTTTCAATTGGGCACAGACAGTCAGGCTGCAGATACTGCGGCAGTGGTGAATTCGCTGGGCACAGATGGACTGCCCTTGAAGACGTACATTTTCAGAAAAGCGGCCTTGAGTGACAATGAGCTCTTCAAAAAGTATGCCAAGTACGTGGTTCAGGCAGTTTGTCATGTCGTGCAGACCTTTCCGGGCATTCACTTTCATCGGCGGCTGGCCATCCTGGTTCCTAATGATGTGTTTCTCAGCAAACTCGAGGCTCCCCTCAAGGATGATCTCTCCAGGTGGTTTCCTCGTCGTCACTTTCAGCTGGTATCCTTTCAAGAGTCTCTCTGTTTTCTTCCCGAACGCCTTCAGAGAAGCAGCTCCCACGACTTGCGAGAGGAGCGCCTCGTCTTCGACACTGTCGATGCAGCGGACGGCTTAGAGCAGATGATCGTGGTGTGCGTGGGCCTCGATGCGCCAATCGGTGGGGAGGAGGATCTGAAAACTCGTGCGAAGCTCTACAAAGGCATCACCAGGGCCCAGCTTCTGGCCATTGTCGTCAACGAGCACATCCCACGGGGCTGGCTGGAGTTCTTGGGGGCCGTGAAGTTTGAGCAGGGACATCTCCGTTCGGAGGAGGCCGCTCCCCAAAGCTCTGCCGCGGCTGCCAAGATCAACGTCGAGGCGCAGCAGAGGGCCCCATCTGAGTCGCCAAAGAAGCAGAAGGTCGAGGTCGAGCCGGAAGCTGTCGGAGTCGAGGCAGTGGAGGCTGGGAGCTTGCTGAAGATAGGGTAAATTCAAGGGTAAATTCAACAAGTACTTTCCGTGTTTGAGGGACTCATAAACTTGATACTGAGCTCCTTAGCAAGAAAAGCCAGGAGAAGAAGCTTCTGGAGACAGCAGAGGACCCCAAAGAGCCCAAGAAACGGCCGGCGGCTGCAGTACGCGAGACCGACACGAAGTCATCGGTGCTGCAGCGCGCGGAGCATCAGCAGCCAGCAGGTAGTGGTAGGAGGAGCGATGCGCAAGATGAGAAGATTGCCTCCAGCGTTTGGGACACTACAAGCAACGAAGTCTCTGCACGTCTCGACGAGCTCAAGTTGAACCCATTCGAGGCCGTGGTCCTTTTACAAATGCTTTTGTGAAACCTTTCTTATGTACCCCGCAATCTCTGGATTCATGTGGTACTGCTCGTTCATGCTCGTTTCTGCACGCAGCTTCTGTCGCTCCCCCTACCTGCTTGCTTGTTTCCTGCGGTTTAGTGAGGCTTAGCCGCCCTGAGGTTCGGCAGCTTCCTGACCTTGATGCGTCAAGTGCGGGACTTGGGCGATATCTCTTTGGAGGGATGCAGAGGTTCGTTGAACGGCTTGCTGGGAACTTCTTCGCAGACCCGTCAGGTTTTGGTTTGGCTTCAAAACGACTTCCATTTCCTGGACAGATAAACCCAGAGGCTAACGACTGTGTCGTGTCTTTTCCGGGGAAGTATTCCGACGCGTGGGACCGGGCGGTGTCGTTGTCGATGGTTTCCGGAGCTTTTTCGTTGGCAGATGTGTTCCTAACGGATAGAAGCTCCGGCTTGGGTCAGCATGGCCTGAACCCAGAGACGCCAGGAGAGTGCTGGTGTCGCACGATATACGGGCCTTTGGATGCATCGACATACTTGAGTGTTGTTGAGTTCGACCCCCACGACAATGGCGAGCACATGGCTTTCAAACGGAGCGACGCTGAAGCCATGGGCCAGGTTTTGCTCGTAAAGAAAAACCAATCCGAAATAGAATGGCAACAGGAGCTGGAGATCGCATTGAGCGAGGCTGAGGTGCTTTGCCGCCGAAATCACAACCGCGCCCCCTGGGGATGTCAATGGTTCGAGGACTGGAGGAGAAATGTTGAAAAAGCCGTGTACTTCAATCAGGTCCTGCATGTATTTTATTTCGAAGAGAGCGTTGGGCAGGGAAAGATGGCCTGGGATGACCTTTGCGATGATGGTGCCAGACGTCGGGCCAGGGCTTACACTGGTTTAGGAGCCTGCCAGACAGCCGAAGTGGCTTACCTTGACAAAATGGGTTGGAGCTACGTTGAGCATGACATCAGAGAGTTTGAGCAGTTCGTCGCGAACCAGAGCTAGCAAGCGATTCAGTGGATCGCTGGCAGCGGCGAAAAGATTTGCCAAGCTCGGGAATGCTGAATTTTCGCAAGTCTGGAAGGATTTCCTGTAGTTGGCAATGCGCGACAGCAGCGTTTTCTTGACTCAACCCACAGTCTCACGTCTTTGATTCTGTTCTGTGGGTTCTGTTCATGTCTATGGCGACACATGGAGGGCGAAATATTGTGAAGCACCGCTCAACCGCCCAAAGCCCGAGAAGTCATGGCACCTGCACGTACCTGTCATGTGCAAGCTACTTACAGCAACTGCCGACCCTCATCGGTTTCAGGTCGCAAAAGTTTTGTAATCCACGCGCGTGCATGCTTGGTGACCCTTTGGGACTAGGCGTATATTATTCTGTTGGGTTGGCTTGCTCCCTCATGGTCGTCGTTGCGCAGAAGAGGGTTGGAGGAAGGCACCGCAAAGTTCGCCGCAATTCGGCCAAGCTCTTCGTTTGCATGAGAGGGCCGGAAGTGGGTTTTTGGACCACGATTCCTTCGGCATGATTTCATCTATGATGGTACCTAAAGGCCTAGAACGACCTGATCTGATTGAAATTATCATCGGCACAATACTGTCGGATGCGTAGGTTGTCCAAAGCTGTACGTCGCCGGGTTGGGCTTTCCCTGGTTACCGTTTTCTAGTATTCGTTTTGCCTGGGAGGCGAAGTTGGGACTCGGGTTTCTCGGTTGGGTAGCTGATCATGGTGGAAGGCGGACGGAGCCAGAAATTTGGCATTGCACTCTCTGGTGTTCTGCTAGAATCGAGTGGGTAGTTCTCCAAGTTTTGGTCCCAAAGCGGTATGCATTCTGATCATGTTCTTGTTTGGGAGACTGAGGGTCCCTGGTTTGGGCACTGGGTATGAGCCTTGGTTCTTGGACGAAGAAGCTGGTGGCTGAAGTCCAGGTCTCGCACAGTGCTGCCGAAAGCGAGTCAGGCCGGCTCCATGTCCAAGGCATGCACTCACAATTCGTTAGCTGGGAAACCTGAACTTGGCTTGCGTGGGGCTATATTGTTGGTATCAGGGCCTTCACGAGTTTTATAAGAATGTTTGTTAAGGCTCTTGAATTTCAGGGGGTTATGAGGCATTCGAAATTTTGTGGGGGCACCGTTTCCTGATGTGTAAGGTTTCTATTCACAGAATGAGTCTGACACCAAGAGGTTTGAGAGGTCCTATGACGCACGTATACACCCTGAATCCTGGCCTCTGGGATTTCCGAGTGGCAGAGGAACATCGGCAGAGTCATGACCGAGGCTGCAGTTAGGGCTTGGGTTCAGCGCTTAGGGGTCGGGGTCAGGGTAAACCCTAAACCCTGAACCCTAAACCCTGATGATAACTCATCCCTCCTGCGCTTGCTTGCGCCTCGCCTCCGAGGCGTCGTGCTGTCCTGTGAGCCGAAGTGGAGCTGGTACGGAGAGATAGGAAAGGGTGGCTTCATCATGTCCGAAGACCCAAATCCTCGAGTGCTTCTGAAACCTTATGTCCCATGCCCAAAAACCCACAGCTGAATCCCCGAATTTTGAAGTCTACAGCCCTAAGCCTCAAGGCTACAGTCCAGAGCACCCTACGCCCTAAAACCCAGCCCCTCAAGCACCTGAAAGTCCCGCAATCTGCAAGGCGGCGAAGGGCGAGCAGGTTGCCGCCGGTGCACCCCCAGGCAGCCAGCGGCTCTCAAGTATCCCTTCCTCAAAAACACTACGAGGTGCTTTTCCAGATTTTATGATGGGAGAACGGGCTCCCAGAGCTTTACAAGGGCTGACACAGTGCAACATCCCTTACCCAAAAAAGGGGTCTCCTACCATGATATAGGTTGAGCAGATGCTTGTTTCTCAGGCCTACCTTGATGTAAGTTGAAGCATCTTCAGGCTCGATTGTTCGCAGGATCCCTGAAGGGCTTTGGGATTGCTCAAAAAGGCGGGGAAGTGGAGCTAAGTACATACTCAAGAACTTCATCTCAAGAGGCATCCCAAACCATATCAAGGGGCCCTAAACCCTAAACCCTAAACCCTAAATCCTAAATCCTAAAACCTACATCCCAAATCTTGAATCCTAAGTCTTAAACCCTAAAGCCTAAGGCTTAAATCCTGAAGCCTACACCTTGAAGGGACAAAGCCCTGGAAGCCCAGAGTCTCCTGAGACCCCCAGGAGTCCTTGGACTGCAGATCCCCTGAACTCCCCATAATAGTCTGGTGCTTAGTAGGGAATGGGGGTTTAGGGTTTAGGGTTTAGGGGTTTAGGGGTTTAGGGTTTAGGGGTTTAGGGTTTAGGGTTGTAGGGTTTAGGGTTTAGGGGTTTAGGGTTTAGGGGAATTGGTCATAGGGACTACTATA